GAACCTGTGGGCTCAGGCAATCCACTCACCTCAGCTTCCCAAAGGCGTGGGATTACAGGCTGAGCCACCGAGCCCGGCTGTTCAAGAGTTTTTATAACCCAAACTCCAGGCTCCCTCCCTTCCCTGAGAAGGTCAGTGTGGGAGGTGGGACTGAGAGTTCCTACCCTCTAATCCTGTGTTTGGTTCTACTCGTGACTAATGTCATCCTAGGGCTACCAAGGATAAGTCACTTAATTAGCATAGACTCAGGTGTGATACAAAGGGGCTCTATAAATGAAAGGTACTCCTATTGCTCAGAAAATTCCATGGGTTTAAGAGCACTGTGCCAAGAAGCAGGACAAAGATCAAATATATATTTTATTACACTGCAGGTACCATCAAGAATTAAGCCAAATCTATACATTCTAAGAGATGACTTAAAAAAAAAAAGAAAAAGAATTAAGCTAAATCTGAGCATTACCTGTTCCTGTACATCCTCAAAGTCCGAGTTAAGCAGCTCTATAAAAATAGGGACTGCCCCTGCTTCAATGACAATTTTGGTCTGCTGAGAGGTTCCAGAGGCAATATTCGTTAGAGCCCAAGCAGCTTCAAACTGAAAGTGAGATTAAGCCATGTTTGAAAGATCATTACACACTGAGCAGTCATGCCTATCAACTGGCTCAGAACAGTAAGGTTCGTGACCATGAATTAAAAAACAACAACAACAAAAATAAAACCCAGGCCAGGCTTGGTGGCTCGTTCTGTAATCCTAGTACTTTGGGAGGCCGAAGCGAGTGGATTACATGAGCCAGCCCGGCCCAGGCAACTTAGCAAAACCAGCCCAGCCCAGGCAACTTAGAGAGATCCCGTCTCTACAATAAATAAAAAATTAGCCAGGCATGGCAGCGCACACCTGTAGTTCCGGCTACTTGGAAGGCTTCAGAGGAAGGATCGCCAAAGCCCAGCAGGTCAACACTGGGATGGCTGTGAGTGTGCCACTGCACTCCAGCCTGGGCGACAGAGTGAGACTCCAACTCAAAAAAATTAATAAAAAAAATAAAAATGAAAAAATAAAAAATAAAAAAACACAAAACACAAGCAAGCCTCTTATCCATGAATTAAAAAGAACACACACAAAATATAAGCCTTTCCTATTCCTCTGTAGTGGGGAGATACAGTAATGTGACATAACTGGAAGAAGAAACTGGGTTTCAACGGTCCCAGGTTTAGTCCTACAATACTATAGCACCCATAAGTCCTTTGGCAAGTCATTTTTTTTTTTGAGTTAGAGTCTTACTGTTACCCAGGCTGCAGGTGATCCTTCTCCCTCAGCCTTCTAAGTAGCTGGTACTACAGTCATGTACCACCACGCCCAGCTAATTTTTTGATTTATTGTAAAGACAAGGTCTCGCCAAATTGCCCAAGCTGGTCTCGAACCCAGGGGCTCAGGTAATCCTCTCACCTCGGCCTCAAAGTGCTGGAATTACAGGTTTGAGCACTGCGCCTAGCTGGCAAGTCGCTTTTTTAATTTCAGAGCTTCACTTTCTTCATTTCTAAGATGAGAATTAGAGTGAGTTGGGTCTCTCAAAGTCCCTTTTAGCTGAATTTTGAGCAAATTCCAATGGATTGGCCTGTCACCCAAATCTGACAAGCGAGACCCAGAGAGGCAAGACAAATTGTCTAAGGTAATACAGGGAGTTAGAAGTGGACTATACTCTCTGACTTATAACTGAATGGTTAGTCTGTCACACTCTTTCCTTTGAAATTGTTTTAAGGAAGAGATGTGGTTTTCTTCTAGGAAGCCAAGACTTGTGAGGGAACTGATGGTTTCTCCCAAATGTTTCCTCATGTAATACTTGTCTAGTTCCTGAGAGATGTGCCTACAGAAATATTCCATTGCAGTTTCTTGGAAGTAGTGCTTTCTTTTTTTTGAGTTGGAGTCTCACTCTGTCGCCCTGACTAGAGTGCAGTGGCCGCTCCCGGCCACCACAGCCTTGACCTGCTGGGCTCCGGTGATCCTTCCACCTCAGGCTTCCAAGTAAGCTGGAACTACAGGTGCGTGCTACCACACCCGGCTGATTTTTTGATTTATTGTAGAGATGAGGTCTCGCCTGCCCGGGCGGGTCTTGAACCCGCGGGCTCAGCAATCCACTCACCTCAGCCTCCCAAAGGCACGGGATTACAGGCTAAGCCACCGAGCCCGACAGAAGTAGTGCTTTCACCTAATAACCCCTTCCCCTTAGGCCTCACCTGTAATGTACAATTCTCATTCCTCTTCAGAAACTCCACAAACCGATCCACCACTCCTGGAGTGTTGATAACTTCATCTATTGGAGGACTAGGCTCTGAAAGAAGGAAAAGGAAAACTGAAGTCAGGAGAGGGCTTTGGTTGATTCCTTCATGGGGTCAGCTCACAATCCTTCCTAGATACTTTTATTGATTTGGGGTCTTACTGTGTCCCTCAGGTCAGAGTGCAAGTGGCTTAATCATGGCTTTACCTCCTGGGCTCAGGTGATCCTTCTACCTCAGCCTCCCAAGTACCTGGGACTACAGGTGAATGGAAACACAACCAGCTAAATTTTCATTTATTTTGTAGTGATGAAGTCTCGTTATGCTGTCTAGGCTTGTCTTGAACTCCTGGGTTCAAGCAATCCTCCCACCACAGTCTCCCAAAGTGCTGGGATTACAGGTGTGAGCCACAACACCTCACACCTTAAGATACTTCTGGTCACCCTTACAAACATTCCCAAACTCCCTTCTGGTCAAGTGGATTTAAAACAAAATCTGGCCCGGGCTCAGTGGCTCAGCCTGTAATCCCGCGCCTTTGGGAGGCTGAGGTGAGTGGATTGCCTGAGCCCGCAGGTTCGAGACCTGCCTGGGCAGGCGAGACCTCATCTCTACAATAAATAAAAAAATTAGCCGGGCGTGGTAGCGCGTGCCTATAGTTCCAGCTACTTGGAAGGCTGAGGCAGAAGGATTGCCGGAGCCCAGCAGGTGGAGGCTGTGGTGGCCGGGAGCGGCCACTGCACTCCAGTCTGGGCGACAGAGTGAGACTCCAAGTCAAAAAACACAACAAAACAAAAAAAGCAACAACTCTGCTTGTCTTTGAACTGTATAATACAGTTGGAATGCCAAAAAGTAAAGCCAATCCTAATTTAGTGTGCTCATCTTTGGCTTACTGAATGTAAGCAAAGAACAATAAGGGAGAAAAGAAAGTCCAAGTGATGCACAACCCTAGTCTATACATTTCCCTCCTAAGAAAGACCAGTATACCTAAGCAAGAGGTATTTTTCCTATCATACATCAAAATTTTATTGAGGACCTACCTACTATGTGCACACAGTTTTAGGTACTGAAAATATAGGAGTGACCAAAACCATAGAGCTCACATCCTAGTGGGGAGAGATATCTTATATGTTAGAAGATAATAAATATAATGGGAAGGGGAGGGAAGACTAGGTAGGGCAAGGTAAAGATATTTTTTAAAATGTTGAGAATGGCGGGTAGCTTGCAGTTTTAAATAGGGGTCAAGGTAGGCTTCATTAAGAAGGTAGGAGCAGTCGGACACAGTGGCTCATGTCTGTAATCCCGGCACTTTGGGAGGCTGAGGTAAAAGGATTGCCTGAGTCCAGGGGTTCAAGGGCAGCATGGCGAGAACTTGTCTCTACAGGTATTAGCCAGGACGGTGGTGTACACCTGTAGTTCTAGCTACTTGGAAGGCTGAAGCAGAAGGATCACCTGAGCCCAGCAGGTTGAAGCCGCGGTAGCCGTGAGTGTGCTACTGCACTCCAGCCTGGGCGAGAGTGAGACTCCAGCTCAAAAAAAAAAGTAGGAGCTAGCTGGGCATGGTGGCTCATAGCTGTTATCCCAACACATGGGGAGACGGAAGCAAGTGGATTGCCTGAGCCTGCATGTTCGCGACCAGCCCAGGCAACTTGGCAAGACCTAGTCTGTACAATAAATAAAAAATAAGCCAAGCATGGTAGCAGGCACCTGTAGCTCCGGCTACTTGGAAGGCTAAGGCAGAAGGAGCACCGGAGCCCAGCAGGTCAATGCTGGGGTGGCTGTGGATTCCAGCCTGGGCGACAGAGTGAGACTCCAACTCAAAAAAAAACATAAAAAGAAGGTAGGAGCTGATTATAGCAATGAGGGCGTTGCTACATAGGTATCTAGGAAGAGAAAACATCAAGCTGAAAGAATTTCTCATACAAAGATTGGAATGTGCCTGCCAGTGGGGCTAGAGCAAAATGAGCAAAAGGGGCAGAGTAGTTGACATCAGTGAAAAGAAACAAGAGGCTAAATCATACAGGGTCTCTCTGAGAAAGACCAGGCTTGTACCTTTGGAAAGCAGTTTCCGGAATTTCTGTGTGGTTGCTAACTGTAGGTCAGAATCATCAGAAAAGAGCATCTCCACCATCTCTCTTGTGATCACACTCTCCTAGAACATAAAACAAGTTAAGACTTTGCAAACCACCATAAAACTAGATGTGAACATATAATCCTCTTGGCATCCTAAATTCTAAGAGTTGAGGGTAAGATAATGGATAAATAGGCTCAGAAGAAGGGGTTTGATAATACATGGCTGCTTCAAGTTGGGTCATTTGAAAGTGATTCCTAATGTCTGAGGTAACCAATGGCTCTCCTTAAATGTTTCCTCAGATATTTCTGTCTGAAATGAATCCTTGTTGCCTCTTTTAGCTGACCAGCTACAAATGGGTCCATGGAGGAAAGAGATTTAGCATGGTTACTGGCAAAGCTACTAGATGACATGACTGTCCAATTTCTGTTCTGAGAAGCAGGAGCTTCCCAGGCCTGTCTGCAGCACATGCAAGGGCCTTACCCCCGTGGTCGAGCTCACATAGGAGTCCATGAGAAGACTATCAAACATGGCGGGTTCTTCATTAATCAGCTCCACATTTCTCCGTTTAAAAAGCTGAAAATAAGAGAAAGAAACTGATGAGACTACTCATTGAACCAACGAAAAGAACGATGCAATGTTAACTTATGGCATAACTGACAAGAAAATACTAGCGTAATTGAGAAAATGAAGCCAAGCTTTATACAGTAGTCTGTCCCGCCTTATCCACTTTCTATGGTTTCAGTTTGTACTGAGGTCCAAAAATATTTTGGAAAATTCCAGAAATAAACAATAAGTTTTTTATTTTTTATTTTTATTGTTTAAGTTGGAGTCTCACTCTGTCGCCCAGACTGGAGTGCAGTGGCCGCTCCCGGCCACCGCAGCCTCGACCTGCTGGGCTCTGGCGATCCTTCTGCCTCAGCCTTCCAGTAGCTGGAACTACAGGTGCGCGCTACCACACCCCGCTAAATTTTTGA